CGCTTGGCGGCTGCCAGAGGGCGGCCGGTTCAGCATGTCCGACAACGACATATTCGTTCTGAGATACGACCCTGGGCGCAGACAATGCTGGGACACGGTGAATGATCTGGGAGGCTACTCTGTGTTCATCGGCAAGAACAACCCAGCGGTGGTCCGAGCTGAGGACGTTCCGGGGGTGAGGGCCAACTGTGTGTACTGGATCGATGAGCGGTGGAGAGACGTGCCTATGGTGTTCAACATGGTCACCCGAACCTCTGCATCCTTTGTTCTTCCCTCTGCTGACAGTGTTCAAAGCTCCCTATGCGGAACAGGCTGCTGGTACTTCTTCAGTGATAACATTACAAGCATCGACAACAATGGAACGAAACAGCACATGAGTGGAGACGCGGACAGATCTCAAGAGCAACAGGAAGCTAAAAGATCTAAGTTATAAGTTGGTTCAGTTATTTAGAATCCTAAATTTGTTGCCTTAGCTGAGTTCTGTTAGTTTCCTCTATATGACTGTGCAGGTTATTTAGATGCTCTTTATGTTCCTAAATCGTTGTGCAGTAGCTAAACTTATTTAAGTTAGTGTATAAGTTTGTTCGGTGTTCAATATATCTTTGAGTTATTAGTGCTAGTTTGTCATTTATTTTTGCATATGGCTGTTTTGGTGTTCATGAGTGGCTTTGGCCTTTGTTGTATCGGTTTTCGCCTGGTTTTCCACTAATTAACAGGGCAACTCTTCTTCTTAATAAATGGGAGGCAAAACTCCACCTCTGTTGTGGGAGAAAAATATATTCGTATGGCTGTCTGGCATTGTGGTGGGTTTTCAGAAGCACATATCAGTTGCTACTTTGGATTTAGACAGTTGTTGGCAGTCAGTACCCCCACAAAACAACTAAACAAATGCAAAAAAAAAAGTGAGGAAACAATTGCAAATTGGCACTAAACTATGCGGCCTTTTATTTGAATAATCCAGTTGGTCTGTTAGTTTATATTGTGTACTCTTAACATATTCAATATGGTCGTTTTCTTTTCCCAACAATCTAAGGAAATGAAGCTCAAACTTTGGGTGCGCAGTCACTTTGTTCTGTTTAGTTGCTTCAAAGTTTGCCAAGATCAAGCAGCGGAAGGGCCTACGAAGGCACTAGGCGTGCCATGTGAGGTTTTTCAACTTGTAGGTCACAAAATTACACAGATGGATGGTTCAGAACTTCTGATTGCTTTTTTGGTAGTAGGAAATGAGCTGGGATTGTTCTTGAAATGTATCACCCACGATCACCAAGATCAGTTCTACTAATCATGTATACAAAATCGAGCAACTTTGATGGTTGCAGCATCAAAGGAATTGATGATATAAGTTAGCTCATGAATTGGCAGGTATTTTCGTTCCCCGCTACCTTAAAAGTCCAGCAACTTCATATATAGTGTTGATTATAGTGTCATTAGAATCAAATGCTCCAGAAGATTTAAAGAGCTTTATTCCAGAAAAAAGAGGAGCAAGCATCATCTAGAGCTCTCTTCTTCAGTATATAACAAACCACCTATGTTTAAGCTTTCCGCAGTCCTGTGCACAGCATTGCACTGGTAAACACCATGAAGACCCTGTAGATGTGTGATGTAGCAATTCCTAGGGAGGTAATTATTTGTTCTCTTTGATGTGTCTTGACAGCATCCTTCGCTTTGAATGGAAATTTAGTTGGTTATAAAAGAAGGTCCTCTTTCACTAGATTTGTTTCCCAGGCATCTCATGTGCATGAATGAAAGAATAAAAAATTTGCCGAAAAAGGGTTTCCCCCCGCTTTATATTCCAAAGCACCAACACCGATTACATAGCATACGCTGGGGCGAGTAGCACAACAAGCCAAAGAAAAAGAAGAAGAAACAATGCCAACACCGGCAGCTCGACAAAGCGCGGATGACCCACTACCGCTGCGCCCTCCAAAATCTACCCACCACAATCCTAGGCTCCGATCCTCCGCGTACCAAGCAGCACCTCCAGGAAGGAATGCGACGCCGACGACGTTGCTGCCCGGACGTGTCCTAGGGTTTCCCCCGGCACGCGGAGGGTAGAGGGGAATGAAGACCACCGACACCCTCCAGGGAGGAATGGTGGCACCTGCAGGCGTCACCGTATCGTAGCCGGAAGACCCGGCAAGGATTTCTCCCAACTCCAGACCCCACCGCCCAATCGGATCGAAGCTAACCAACCAGCTCGCCGCCCACCAGCATGCGCCACCGTGGTCGCAACGCCACCGACGCCGTGTCACTGAGATCACCACCACGAGGCCAAAAGAACGAGGAGAGGAGGCGTTGGTTGACGGGAGCAGCAGCGCCATAGCCGCGGGGAGGGAACCACCTCCTCCGCTGTCGTGCAGGAGGCTCGTGCCTCCGGCACCGTCGCGGTCGCCGTCCGGACGCAGCAGCAGGGCATACCAGGACACCCCTGGCCTGGCCAGACCCGAATCGGGCCCGCTAAGCCCTGTCGGCCACGCTGCAGCAGGGCGGCGCCAGCACCGCCAACCCCCAACGCCCATCGCCGCTCCCCCGCCTCCCGGAAGCCACGCCGCCAACCCGCCCCGCCGTCGGCCCACCCAGACCCAGATGGGGCCCGAAGGTCCCAGATCTGGGCCGAGCGGGCGCCGCCAGGCCGCACCACCCCGCGCCAACGGCGACGCCGCCGTCCAGCCGATCTCCCGTGCCGCGCCAGGAAGCCCCGCCGCCACGCCGGACCACCGCCGCCTAGGGAGCACCCTCCGGCGCCCTCCGCCCCGCGTCGGAGAGCAACCGAGAGGAGAATGGCCGGGGGCCGCCGCCACCAACGTCGCCCGGGCCAGGCCCGGCGGCGCACGCCGGCGACAGCGGCGGGGAGGGGGGAGTGAGGGAGAGCTGGCGGAGGAGGAACTAGGGCGCGGCCGGTCGCCCCCGGGGGCGACGCGGTCGCGAGAGCCCGAGTGGTTCTCTTCCAGATTAAAAAAATTTACCAGCACTGTCTTAATTTTCTGTTCGTTGCATAGTTTTTTTTGGTACTGTAGTACTATTTGGTTTGGAATTTACAATGTGGTTAGGTGAGCTCTATTTCTCGGTCTAAACTGTATCTTCTATGTTTATTACTAGCTGCTTGATTGTCCAGCTCTTTGAAGGCAGATTCAGTAATGGAAAGCAGATATGCTACTGTTTAGTTGACAGGTACTTGCTCCTTATCCGCAGGTCTCTTCTTGTTGTTTACTTACCGGTTACATACTCCAAATAATCACTCAAGACAATTCGGTCTTGAAATTGTTGTTTCATGTTTAGTGTTGTTTGAATTATCACTCAATTGCATACCACTGGAACTGAATTATAGACAAACTCATGTTAAACTGTCAGAATTGAATTTATATATAATATTGTGTGCTTTCTCCTTGATTGAATGTATTGAGAACTTGTGAACTTTTGTTTATTTATGTCACTTATCATGTTGCAGGTTTTGGAAACTCCTCATCTGATACGCTTGGACACATATCTCATGGTTCTGGACAACTTGTTGATACGATGCCCCTCCTTATTCGGAGGCCTTCTTGGCCACCTCTGGACGGCCATTGCTCCCAATGGTGTGTGGACTGTGGAGGTGGTATCGAGTCCTTGACCTTGTAGTCCTCCACTCTCACTGGTGCCACTTGTGCATGGAAGGCGAGGGGTATGGCGATGATCGGCGAGGCCAGCAAACACGGCGGACAAGTCGGTCAACATCTTCTTTGGTTGTATGTGGCTCTCAATGTGAGTGCCCTCTGTGGCTGCGTGTGTCCACCTTTTTGTTACCAGCAAGAGGAGGAAAGTAAACTTTCTTGCTGTTGTCGACTTGTCCTTGAAGTTCTTACTTCAGCTTGAAGCATTTGTGAAGTCTAGACCATGAATTCTGGTGCAGTACAATTGCAGGGGAAAGCTGGCGTGAGTGTGTGCCTCCATCGGTTTTCTTAGACAGGAGGGTGAAGGTAATAAAGAAGAAGAGTGATGTAAGATGAGTATATCGAGTCAATTGCAATGGGAACTTGTATAATGACCCTCATGCCTTTCCATGGTTCAGCAAAGAAAAAAGGAATGTCAACACTTTGAGCCTTATGGATCTGGTATTCTGGTTGCTCCCTTTGACGAATAGATTGTACTACTAGTTACTGTACTAGTTAACTTTCAAAATTGCATCATGTCCTACTAACAACGCCATGGTTCATGTTATCATTAGGGATAATGCCAGTTTGAAAAATAGAAGCAGTTCAGGGTCTTTTGGGGCCTGGTTTCACTCCTTCGAGCTATATCTTTGACCAATTATATATGCTTTATTGGAGCTGGCATTTTAACTCGCGCAAATGGATCCACTGATTAAGACAGGCAAACTGCTGCTCCTAAGCAAGCATGCACGAGTAAAAGAATATGAGTGACCTCCAGCTGCTCAAATCATGGAGAAACAGAACCAAATTTTATGCAAAAATACAATGAAATATATAAGCTTCTGGTACCTTTTTTGGTACGGCAACAAAAATGAATCTTAATGAGCATGGAAATCATCTGTAAGAAATGCCATAGCTAAACAGAAACATTTGAGACTAGAAATACAGAAACCATGATAAAGCTACCGTATAGCAATGGTTTATGGTACTGAAATTACAGCACAAAACAAGATTTGTTAGGCTGCGTGCTAGAGTACACGACACAGTTCTACTGCAGTAGCATTAACCTGACACTAGCAGAGTTGCTAATCCTAGACCCTCAAGCAGAGGGAACCAACAGGCCGGCCCCATAATCCCAGATCCTCAAGCAGAGAACCAACAACCGAGATAATCCCAGGCCCTCAAGCAGAGAACCACGGATCCCCATCTTATCATAACATGCTATGGTAAGTCTTGGGGTGAAGGGCAGACAGAAGAAGAGCAGGATTGACTGGTCAGGATAGCGGCTAAGAAAGCAGCAGACACGGCGGGCTGGAGGACTAGTCTGAGATGGACTTTCTCCTCTCCCTGCAGTGAAGCAGAGTACTCAACTCATCGCATGGACATGAGAGTGCGCCTCTGGTTGGCCCTCTTGGAAGGCTGAGCGGCCTTCTTCTGGTTCTTCTTCACCATCTTCTCGATTTGCTCTATTGAGCTGGTCAGTTTCTTCTCCATGAGATCAGCAAGCGCTGGATCGATGGGTTTGGTTGGAGTCTTCTGTGAGCTCTTGGATGGCGAAGAATAGACCTTGAAGCTGTGCTCTGCCTGGCTAGGTGCAGGGTTTGCAACCATTTCAGTTAAGCCAGAACCAGAGGCGATAGCTTGGGAGTCCTGAGCTTCAGTAGAATGAGGAGTGCCCTGCTCTGCTGGTACCGGAGTCGTCAAGTTCGCAGGTTGCGGAGATTGCTCAGACGTTTCGCTTTGCTGCCGAGCTGCAGCAATCCTTAAGCGGCTTCTCTCAATAGCCTGAAAGTCAATAGTCAGAAGAGCAGCACGTAGAAAGAAAGAACATGCACTGAAATGCATAATTTTAGCTAGAACTAGCTGCTGCCAAAATAAACATTTGAATGGCTTAGCAGATAAACAGAAAACTCAATAAAATATAACAAATATGTAGCCAAGGCAGGTCAGCAGAGGTAGGCATATATGTTTTGTAGATTAGGATTCAGTGGTAACAGCACTGTTAAAAATATCATGCCATAGTAAAATGGTTGATATGCACGCAGAGCTTAATTTACTAAATTATAATGTTACACCAATCAAAATAACTCCAGCTCAAAAATATATCATTTGAGCAACACGCAATAAACATTTAAATTTTGAGATAGTACATGCTAGCACAGTTAATTGTATATGCAACATTTTAGCTCTAAATATTAGTTAAGGGGATTTTAGCAAATAGACATCTAACCGGTGCATGCTATTGTATCAATAGTATACAGTAGCACAATGTACAGCATATGCAAAGAATTATTAACCTCAAGCTATAATGCATAATGTACAGCATGAACACTAGAGGATAATGCAAACTATATGAAGGATATACTCATATAGACAACATTGTGGGTTTTACTTAAGAGTATAAGGGGCACATGTTTGCAGAAATTTATAGGTATAAACAACTTTGGGAGAGCTCCGTTTACACTTGGTCAGGTAATATCAAAAGAAAAGTCAGCAGCTTAGGAAAATAGCCCAAAAGTGTGAGCATTTATTGGTATGCTTGAACAAAACATCACATTGAATTACACTAATAAAATATCTGAAGTCAGTTAACTGCTGATGGAAAGAGCGGTTTTCGATAAACAGTAAAAAAGGGCAGCCCCGGTGCATGTAGCTCCCGCTTGCGCAGGGTCCGGGGAAGGGTCCGACCACTTTGGGTCTATTGTACGCAGCCTTTCCCTACATTTCTGCAAGAGGCTGTTTCCAGGACTTGAACCCGTGACCTTTTTCGATAAACAGTACTGGTAGACAAATAAATACTGGTGAAAACTATAAACTAATATAGCACAAAATCATATAACTGAATCATACTCAGACATATGTAACAAATCAGGCATCACTCATCAGTACAGGAAAATATAAACACTAAGCAAATAGCAGCTCCGATAGGCAATTGATATGTGTTTCTTTTGATTGTGAGGTGGCCTCTCCACTCGAAAATAACTGCACTTTAAGTAGGCATGACAGTATTCATCTAACATGGACACTTGATATAGGGAAGCAGGAAAACGTTTTGTTAACTCTTGTTATGATATGTATTACTAAATGGCTAGATCTAATTAGATGGAACACAACAAAGCAGTGGTTCATAAAGCACAAGAAGATCCTCTGCCAATACTTCTACCAATAATCATAATCAAAACCCCCAAACCTGACAGTGCCAAGCACGAAATAATACATCTATTCTGCTTACTACTAAAGTTATAGCAGTATCATGCTTTCATAACCAACTAGTTACCATTAAGTTCAAATACTGTCCACAAAACCATAACAGAAGTAGCACAAAATCATTCAAGTACCATTGTTTAACTAAAACTTGGTGTGAATAAGATCCTCTATCAGTACTTCATACCAATAATCAAAACCCCAAAACCTGACACCAACTAGTTACCATAAGGTCAAATACTGTCCATAAAACCATAACAGAAGTAGCACAAAATTATTCAAGTACCATTGTTTAACTAAAACTTGGTGTAAATAAGGTAATAAAGGCAAATTGCTGCAATTTGGCCATTTGTTAACAGTTAAGAGATACCAGCAATGACCAAGTACCGGTGGAAATGTGAAATAGCACAAAATCATATGACTGAATCCAACTCAAGACTTTTGTCATGGGATTCCACAAGCCCACATTGGTAACAATTGTACTTCAAACATGCTGTTACCGGCCAACAACAACTCCAGAACGGAGTTGGCACTATAGACGTTCATCTAAAAACTCTTAAACGGCACAGTGCAGAATCGTAAGCAAGATAGCAGGTGAAGCAACTACATCTTCAAACAGTTTCAACTACTCACGTCAGAACCACATTACTTGATCTGAAGAAAATTGGTCATCACCTTTACAATCACCGTGATATCACGGAGCGGCGTCCTCGGGTACCAACCAGGAAGCGGGCTCCTCCTCCTCGGCGGCGTAGCCTTCACAGCCCAAACTGGCGGCACGTTCTCCTTGTTGCTGGAGGGCGACGCGAACCGCCGGGGCAGCGGCTTCCCAGCCCGCCTCCCTGCCAGAGCCCCCGGCGAGGCCACCCTCCTGATAAAGAAGCCGCCGCCAGAGAGGTCGGTGAGGGCCGTCCTCTTGAGTTCCCTGTGCTCAGGCATCTTGGAGATCTGCAGGAGGCAAGCGGCAGAAGAGATGCGGATCGGTGAGAACTCCGAGAAACGCATCAAAAGAGTAAGAAATGGCGGAAAACTCAAAAGGCAGCATCCCCTGCGCACGCACCTGTCCTCTCTTCTTCCCTGGATCTTTCCTGTACGATTCGTATCTCGAGATCCTTCCAGACCTGCTCCCGGAAATCCGCAAGCGCAAAACGTCCAAGAAATCGTCAGAAGACCAAGAAATGGATGCGGGGGAAATCGCCAAAAAGACCAAGAAATGGATGCGGGGAAAGCAACGAAGACCACCAATAACCCCAGGATTTCTCGCGCATTACCTGTCCCGACTCCCGCTTCGATTCCGCGCCGCTAATCCCAACCCTAGAACAGATCTGCGGCAAGAGAGTCGAAGAAACTCGTCAGAACCCGCAAGAAACGGCACGGGAATGGGGACAAAAGGACGAAATCCGAGATTTCTCTCACGATTTGCTCGGCCCTTCCTCCAATCTCGCCCGCTTCGAACCCCTGATACAGCTACGGACTCTAA